ATTCGGTGACCTGATTTCATTTCAGACCCGAATATAAGACTAAAATTACAACCAAAACCATTCGTTAGATCTCTCTAGCCATACATCACATTAATTTACTAAATTACCTTTATTAAACTTAGTTAATCATGATTAAATTTTTAGGACGTTACATACACATATACATCCATCACACTTATCTGACAAATCCAACTTTCGAAATACTTGCAAAGATTTCTTTCTAAGCGTCAGTTAGTTGAGGAGCTAGCTGTTCCTCCTCCTCCTCCTTCCACTCCTTTATTCACTCGTGAATTTCTCTTTCCCGACCCACAGATTCCTCTCCCACAAGAGAAGCTTTGTAAGAGATTGACATAGGTTTGACTTTCGACGACTCACATTTTTCCTCTTCAGACGAATGATTGTTCTTTCTCTGTTCCCCTATAATCACATCTTCTTCCATCTTCTTCATCCCCTTTCAGATTGCATCCTCATCCATCTTGGAGAGATTGTCAACTCCCGCCTGAGACCCAGGGTTCCGGCATCAACACCATAGCTTGCACCTGTACTCTCTCTCGCACCCTCACTCATCGCTTAATTGTTCTTCCGTGTCAAGTCAAATGAACACTATATTTGCCCTTTCATCAACCCTCTCTTCCCTCTTTCCTTATGCGTTCATCGACTTCTGCGAAATGGAGAAAATGGCGTCCGAGTCCATTGAACAGGAAGGAGAGACTGAAAGCCCTATCCACACGTTTCTATGCCTCTCTTAGTTGTCAATCAATAACTGAACACAAAATCAAGCACCTCTTAGTTTGCATCAAAATAATCTAATCAGCTTGAATTACTCAAGGGGGGAAATAGAGAGAGAAGTCATAAGATAGTTGGATATTTAAGAACAAAAAGATAGAAATCTAATTGAAAGAAAATATTTTTCCTTATGCGTCACAATTTATACAGGTAGATACCCATCGCATAAGCAAAGCCACAAAGGCAGATTTTTAATGAAGCAAGGCACATAAGCTGATAGTGAAATCAACGAAGACGGTGAGGCATGGAAGCTACAAATGTGACTGTGAAAGGTGTGTCTCTGATCGATGGAGAGAACAAGGATAGAGGAGCTCTTCAATTTGTGCAAGAAACAAAGACACCGACAAACATAAGAGAAGCAACAAACCTACTATAAAAATTACGAGAGTAAAATAAGTCCGGCTTGAACAAATCATTTCAATCCATTTGAAATCGTTGTGGCTGGAACTCGATCATCGGAGCTCCGATCCCACATCAGCTGTATCAACAAAATGTATTTATCCATTTGGCAGGAGTCGATGAATGCAGAAAGAAAGAGGGAAGAGAGGGTTGTGGGAGGGGTAAATATATCATTCATCAAAAAAAAAAAATGTCAGACAAGTTCTTAGATAATAAAAAATAATTATTACATTGGTACCTATTTATTTAGAGATTTTTTATTATCATTTTCGATCTTCTTTTAACTTTTAGACTTCTTTCGAGCATTGTACTTTTTTAACATTTATATAATTTTCTCTACACTTTTTAATAAATTTTAAACATAAAAAATGTGTTAATCTTTGAAAAGTTCTTAATTTAATCTTACACTTTTATATCATTTTTCTTAACCTGTTCTTGTTCTCAACACATGGGAGAAGATGTCATTTTTCCTCGAGAACTTCAATATAGACCCCGAGAACGGGAGGGCTTGCCCCATGCAGTCCAGCCTTTCAGGTCCTAAACTTGTCTTGTCTCAAAATTAATTGTTTTGCCAAATTCGGTGTCGATTTGGTCTAAGGTCAGACTCAGGAACTGATTTTTTTTATTTTTAAAAATAAAATTTGACATTATGATATTAAATATTTATTGTCTAAAATACATATTATAATATTCTAAAATCTAAAATAAGTTATATAAATCTTAATTTTAAACTACAAACACATATTTTAAAATCTAAATTTAATCCTAAAATTTAAAATAATTCAATTTTTTTGGCTTAGCATAAATGCAAGTTTAAATGCTCAAGCTTTACAGGATCGTCCTTTCTTTTAGATCATCAAGAAAATTGGATACCTCGTCAAAAAGGGGGGAAAAACACTTGACAAAACACCAAGTGTCAACCATGACCTGAGTAAAGTTTGAAATAAACCGAGAAGAACTTATCAAGCTGAAGGCCAAGATCTGCATGGATTATAGAATGACTCCGGTAGCTATCTTGTATGTGGAAGAGCATTGAATTGAAGCAAGAAATGGAGATTGAGTGGAGTGGGATCTCTTCATTTGTTGAGAAGCAACGAATCTAGTAGAGTACAGAGCGAAGATATTCGTTCTCAAAGAAATGATGACTATTTGATCTCTTAAATTGTCAAGTTCGAATCTGCAACTCTTCTCCATTCAAATAAATAGCTATAAGTAGTTCGGTCTTTCCTCTTCCCGGGTGTGTGTAAGATCAGCTTATGGAAGCTATACATTTGCCATAAGATGTTCAGGATTAGAATAGATCAAATAAGATCATCCTCCAGTTTTCCTTTCACAAAAAGTTTAAGAAAGGATAGAAGTCCATTCCATTTAGATTCCCACCGGATGCAAAAAAAAAAAAAAAAAAAGACCATACTGAGAGACAATCATACCATACTGCTCTTGAAAACGGACAAGTTGAGATGAGGTAACGATTCAATGGCTTGACAACCGAATGCACATGATTCAGAAGTAGGTAGCCGATGATGTGATAAAACATCACTAGCAGGGAGAGCATTGTGATCGATTTTCCAAATAAGCAAGACATATCTGTGTGGAATTTTGAATTTCCACATGGCTTTCTAGTTGAAATCAATTGGAACAATAGGATGTAAACATTTAAATCCATCTTTGACATTATATGCACTAGTAGAACCTTCAGCCCATATTAGAGAGTCGGGGGAATTAAGAGAGGAGATCGCAATAGAGCCTATGACATAAGCCAAATGAGGTGCGAAAAGAGAATCTAAATTCTTATTCGAAGTAACAGGGGACCAAAGATTAATCAATGAGATCTTCTGTCCCAGGAATTGAATTGTTACCTTGGACCATATCTTCAAAGAAAAAATAAGTGGGGGAGGGGTCTCTCTATTTTGTTATCATCATTGTCCCTCACTTCACCATTTTCCCTCACTTCCCTGATCATAACCATTCATCAAATTTATTACTAAAACAAATCATTTAATGCAGTGATATCAATTATCATGATTGGAAAGTAGTTGGAAAATGATGATTAAAAAAAATGGAGAAACCTTGTAGGTATGTTGACTGATTTGCCTACCAAGTGAATCAACACAGTATGGAAATCATAATTCTCAATGTTATTTTATTATGTGCAGGGACATCCTAATTTTTTATATGAATTACTCCCTTTGATTTAAATTATAAGCAATTTTTTTTAAAAATTTCACATGCTAATAAAGTCATCATTCTCATGAAAATATATATTATTTTTTTTATTCTTAATCCCAATTACCAATATTTTTTATGATGAGTGAGAGATTCATTTACACAAAGATTTAGGTTAATAAATATAAGGGGTTAAATAGGTAAAAAATTACATGTACTAGGTAGTTTTTCTTTTGAACTAAAAATAATTGAGAAAATATGCTTATATTTTGAATAATAATTGTTTATTGCATGGTGGTGTCCCTACTATTCTTTGTTGAGAGAGAGATGTACATTTATATATATATATATATATATATATAATGTAAAACTTCATTAAACTTCATAGTTTTCAGAAAAAAATTAGGGAGGTTGGTTTTTCCATCTTAGCTTGGACAACAAGTAATTAATAAGACAAACGAAAACGAGCTGAGAGAATGACACAGGAAGGAAGAAGGCAAGTTGCAAGCAACGAAATTTTCATTAGTTTCAATATTTTCTCTATTTTCAAATAGCATATTAGCATGACATGTCCCTTGCTTTGACCCATTCTCGCCCGACTTCACCTCCAAATCTCCAATTACTTAGCCGTCTTCTTTTTACTTTTAGGGATAGCGATTTTGTTTACTTGAGTTTTTGGACCAACAAATTAAGCACTTGTAATTAGCCAATTTCTTTAAAATAAAAGGAAAAAATGATTTAAGTTAAAGTTAACACTTAAGTTGTTGAGAGAAATTAAACTAATAATAAAAGCTTCAATAGAAATAAATATATATATATATATATATAGCTTTTTATCAGTTATTCCAAAAAACTTATTAAAATACGTTTTTTCCAACACATTTTTTTATGTGTCTAACTTAAATCTTTCAACAACTCTCTGACACTCACAATAACTTTCTCATGTTTAGCTTAATTACAAGAACTTTTTTAATATATCAAACAAGCTGGCTTAATATAATACTCTTTATTAAATTTAGTTGCTTCTTCAATATTTTCATATTTTGTTGCCCCTCATGTTTGACTTTTTATTTTTATTTTTTGCCAGACAAGTTTGAGTAATCTGCAGTGCTCACTTATGATGTTAATAACCGCACTTTCTAATACTCTTAATTATTCTAGAAATTAAAATAGTGGACATTTAGATAGACACGTTGGGCTTTACTTGTCAAATGGGCAAAAATTCCATTCAGCGTTTTCACACCTGAAGAGGTGGGTGCGTTTAGATCTGAATTGGAAAAAAATTGATTGACATATCATACCATGGTAATTAATGTTCGGATAAGATTTTTTAAAATTGGTTTTATAAAATTAATTTATGAAATGGAAGAAAAATTAGTTTTTGCAAATTAAAATCTTAAGTATTAAATAGAGTTTGAAAAAATTGAAAGTGCTTAGTTAGCTTCTGTAAAATCGAGTTTCAAAAATCAGATAAAATTTAGAAAAATTGTGGTTGGTTAGATGATTTTATTTCTTCTTTTAAACCATGATTTTGTACCATATTATAACTAGTCTAAAGAGGTATCCCAAGAGGCAAACATCGCTGTCATGGTCCCCGCCACGCAAAGACATATATAAATATAAGTGGAGGATTCCTTCATTAACGCAGGCAATCTCTGTCTCTTTGTCTGACTAAACATTATTGCCTGGTACTTGGTACTCGGTTCTGCGATAGCTCCTCAACATTCGACAGCATGCCTATACAACTCCTGGCTTTTGTCTTTCTCTTCTGTCTTCCTTGGATTTTCTTCTTGCTGTTCAAAACTTCTTCCCCTGCTGCAACCATCAAGAAGAAGAACAAGCTCGTTTCTCCACCCACGACGGTCCTCCCAAAAACATACCCTGTAATTGGTTCCTATTTAGACCTTCTAGCCAACTTCGACCGCCGTGTCCTGTGGTTCTCCGATATCGTCCTCATATCACCCGCCAATACATACGTCCTCCACCGCTTCCTGGGCCAGCGAGCTGTCATTACCGGCAACCCCGCCGTCGTACAACACATTCTGAAGACTCATTTCCCGATTTACCAAAAAGGCCAAGCCTTTCGCGAAACGCTCACAGACTTTCTAGGCAACGGCATCTTCAACACGGACGGTGACACGTGGAAGTTCCAAAGGCAAGTCGCAAGCCATGAATTCAACACGAGGTCTCTGCGTAAATTCGTTGAGCATGTCGTGGACACCGAGCTCAACCAACGCCTCATTCCCATTCTGGCCACGGCGGCGGCCCAAGACCAAATCCTCGATTTCCAAGACATCCTCCAACGATTCGCATTCGACAACATCTGCAAAATCGCTTTCGGCTTCGATCCGGAGTACCTGTCGCAGTCACTGGGGCCCAGCAAGTTCGCTCAGGCTTTCGACGCCGCCACCGAAATCAGCAGCAGAAGGGCCGGTCACGCGCATCCCATAACCTGGCAAATACAGAAGCTTCTGGACATAGGATCCGAAAGAAGACTACGATTAGCAATCTCTGAAGTGCGCGAATTCGCCAAGAACATAGTCAGAGATAAGAAACGACAGCTCACCGAGGGGGCTTCCCTGGAATCGGCCGACATGTTATCAAGGTTCTTGAGTTCGGGGCACTCGGACGAGGACTTCGTGACGGACATAGTCATCAGCTTCATACTGGCAGGAAAGGACACCACTTCAGCGGCTTTGACGTGGTTCTTCTGGCTGCTTTCGAAGAACCCAGAAGTGGAGAAGAAGATTGTGAAGGAGGTCGGAGAAATATCGGAATCCCCAGTGTACGATGAAGTGAAAGATATGGTATTCACCCACGCAGCGTTGAGCGAGAGCATGAGGTTGTACCCGCCGGTGCCGATGGACACAAAAGAAGTAATGGCGGACGACGTTTTGCCAGACGGGACCTCCGTGAAGAAGGGGATGAGAGTGACATATCACGTGTACGCCATGGGAAGGATGGAGAAGCTGTGGGGGAGCGATTGGGCTGAGTACAAGCCGGAGAGATGGCTGGAGAGAGATGGAAATGGTGAAGATTCGGAGAAGTGGAGGTACGTGGGGAGAGATGCGTATAGCTATCCGGTGTTTCAGGCAGGACCGAGGATTTGCTTGGGGAAGGACATGGCGTACTTGCAGATGAAGAGAGTGGTGGGTGCGATTCTGACGAGGTTCAGGGTGGTTCCGGCGACGGCGGAAGGAGAGGAACCACAGTTCGTCTCCTTCTTGACGTCCAAGATGAAGGGCGGCTTTCCAGTCAAGATTCATTCTCTGGTCTAAATAATGCACTTGTATAAAACTGGAATATTCTATATTCTTTTAAATTTGTAATAAACAACTGTAGTTTTTAATTGACTAAGCGTTGTCTGTTTAAGATTAAAAAAAATAATTTTAAGATAATTTAGAAATTTTATAAAAAATATTTATTTCGTAAAGATAAGATGGTGTAAAATGTAGTTATTATTTTATATCTGATTAAAATAATAAAAATAAAATATTATTTAATTATTTTTAGATTTTATGATATTTTGATGGATCTCTAATTATAAAAAATTATTATTATTTAGTTATTTTAAAAATTTTATAATATTTTTGTGTATATTCATATTTTTATGGCATTCTGTTCCGTCTACCAAATCAAATTATTTTTAAAAACGGTTCGAAGTAATATTTTAAAATAATAAGAAATCTATTTTTTTCTTATTATTTTTAAAAATTTTAAAAATATTATAAAAATTCATAAAAATATTTTCTAAAAAATAAATAATATTTTCATTAAAAAAATCTAAACAAACTGGCTTTAAATGTAATTTTTTATTATTTTTAATACCTAACTATGTTTTAAATAAAATTACCTGCACAATTTAAAAAGGTCTCAAATTAGCATGGACATGGGCTTGCTGCAGTTTCAGTGCCTGATTCAGATTAGGGAGAATTTTAAAAAAGACCTCCTCACCATACTTAATTACATTTAAAACCCCTAAATTTTTGAGATTTTACTCCAATCCAAAAGTACTGATTTGATATTAATTTTTTTAAAAAAATAACAAAATTGCCCTTTATTTAAATTAATATTAGAACTGCCCTACTTCACTTGTTAATTTCCTTGAAATGAAATCATGAAAGTATGACAATGAACAAACAAAATAGACAATGAACGAGTGAAGTAGGGCAATGAACAATAAATAATATAAGAATCAATAGATTGTCTTAAAATGATTTAAACATCTAAAATGAAAATAAGTTAAGTAGAGCAATTAACAATATTTTGTAAGTAAATGAACAAATAAAGTATGACAATTAACAAGTGAATTAGGAAAGTTTTGATATTAATTTACATGAGGGGTAATTTTGTCATTTCTCTCCTAAATGTAATATCAAATCAATGCTCCTAAACTGTTGTGAAATTTCAAAAATTTAGAAGCTTTAAATAATTTTAGTCAAGAGTCTTTTATTGAAATTCTCCCTTTAAATTATATACATACCTAGAGGTCGAAATCAAGATGCTGATCTAATGGGTTGGCTGAATTTCATAGGTCAGCTCTTCGTGACATGATAATTGACTCTTTTTTTTTTAGGTTGGTTTGGATAACTCTTAAAAGAACATCAAACTATATATGAAATGTACTTTTATTAAATTTAACAAATTTCTTAAATGTGCTTTTACTATATGTAAATTAAAAATCAAAGACAAGCTTGCCTTGAGAAAACTGTTGTGGTTGTGGCTATTGACATGAGGAATGTAACAGATCTAATTTTTGTCACAACCCTTTTTATAAATAAATATTTTCTCAAAGAATATACCTGCCAAAACAAAATGACAACGAAATTAATAATTACCATTAGGTTTAAGGCAGATGAAGCCCAATAAACAATTTACAACAAGTCAAAGGTTCAACAATAGTTTATAGATATCACCAATTCTACTAAACACACTTCTTTTATACTATTAATATGTACAATCCAAAATAAATGGATTTGGCCTAATAAAAAATCACAGTCTAGATCGGCATATTTAAAAGTTATCTAACCTAAACAAAAGGATTAAGCAACTCTAGTCAAATAACCTATAACAATTATCCAAAATAAAGTTATATAAGATTCTTAAGTCATGACAGTTGTAATTACAAAATAAACTGAAAACCATGTGTCAAGTCAAGAAAAGGAAGCTTAAGCTCACTTCTTCAGTGCCCTCTTATAACACTTACCCCAAGTGTTATCCAAAATACCCAAGTCAAACAAACTAAGTGTGATTAACGAGTTGATCATAAAACTAACTTAGAAAACAAACAATTTAAATCACCAAATAATCTACATAATAAAAAAGCACACATTTTAATTAACTTTTTTTAGAAAAGTCTGAAGAATTACAGTATAGCACACGGAAGCAAATTAGGTAAACAGGGGCATTTAATTGCTGTCATGACATCCCTCCCTGGCAAACTTCTAGGAGGCACCAATTCATCATTTGGCCTTCGATTGAAGCAATTTTAAAGATCACATATTATTTCTAATGTGTATTAATAGTGTTCCAAATTTTAAAAATATCCAATGGTCGGATTAAAATTTAAACACATTACAAATTTGAACATTTTTGCTGTCATGATAGCATCTCCGGACCAACTTTTAGAGTGCACCATTTCATCATTTAACCTTCGATCAGAGTAATTTCAGAGCCCACTTGTCACTTTCAAAGAGTACTACTAGTGTACTAAATTTTAAAAAGATTCAACAGACAGATTAAAATTTATACTTGTCCTAATATCAATACTGTTATTGTCATGACAACAATTTATGACAGCACCTCTGGACTAAATTTTGGAGTGCATTATTTCTCCTTCTAGTGTCCAATTGACGTGATTCTAAAGCCCACACAAAGCTTATAAAAAGTTTTACTTGTGACCCAAATTTTAAAAAATTCAATGGTCGGATTGAGATTTGGACATTTAAATGCAAAAGTGTAATTTTTTGGTAAAAACCTTTCAAAATTGTTCAAATCTCATCTTAAGAGTCACAAACTTATGAGAACACTTTGGACACATCAAATAAGATTAGGAGTACCTAATGTAATATTCAAATCATAAAAAAAACTCTTTATATCAAAATTTAACTACTCAAGTGCCATTTTTCAAAATAGACCCTAAGCCCTCAAAATGCACAAACCACACAAGAGTGGTCAAAAATCACTTCAAACACTATGTATTTATATAAATGCACATGCTAAACATTTTCACTTGACTTAGAGATCTCTGTGGGACCCACGCACCCACTTTCTCTATCCAAAGTGTATGTTTGGCCTTAGCATACAATTTGCAATGTAATCACTTTGCAATTGCATGTAAAATCATCCATATTCATATATACATATATATACATCAAAATAAACATTTACTTGTAGTGAAAACTTGATCTATCAAATGAATTCACCAAAACCACACACCATAACCAAGTTTCCTAAACACAAGTCTACAAGTGGCAAAAATTCATACACAAGCACACAATCCACACATATTTACATATATGTATACTCACATCCTACTAGCACCCTAATCCTAAATACATTACAATATACTTGCTCAAAAGAAAAGAAGATGCTATTCTTTACAAATCACAAGTAAACTCCTAGCTTGACTCTTTTCCTCATCCACCACTGGATCTTTCGCTTGGACCTGTAATTATTGTAAAGAAAGGGGTGAGACAACTATAATCTCAATAATAGAGAAGTTGGTATTCCTAATTACAAAGAAAGTCATGGTTAAGTAAATAAATAATAGATTTAAAATAACATATAATTAACCAATTAAAATGCTTGAATGCATAAGATAGGCCGATATGGTTTTTCCTGACCAATAAAGTGCCCTGTGGTATTCTTTAGCTTATAAGTAAATCTTATACCCACTGTATCTCTATAGGAACAAAATATAAACCAAGACATGACTTGATCCACCAAACCACATGTGCCCCTTCAACGTGAATCTTGAGCAGTCGAAGCTAACGCTCTTTCAGAGCCAGCCTAACTTACTTTCTATATAAAGGTTACCTTGACCTAGGCACTCAACCTCATACTTCATATGTCGGATTCCTTCCCCCACTGAGAGGTGTTAAACACTCAATTCACTAACTATTTTAGTATACTAAGCCCACAATATGAAAGGCAATACTGAGTATTGACAGTGAACCATAGAATATCATAAGACAATATCTCCCCATTATTGAACTCTCACCTAGATCATGCCTCTTACCCTTTTTTACTTTTCTTGAGTATTGACCACTTCAACACTTAAGGTAGTATAACACTCATAATTCATCCCTTAAGTGGTTCTTTAGCCTATTTAAGGTACCAAACCTAGTTGCACTTCCTTAAGTGCAACTTCTCATTTTTTTATTATCACAATGCATGCTAAATAATCTTATTTTCATAAGTAACATCATTATTAAATAGATAGTAAATATAGATACGTTATTATTAAAGTAATACCCCATAAACCCTCCTAAAACACATTTGAATTGTATTCAATTGTTTAAAACATGTAATGCATGCTAGATAATATTATCTACTTAAAAATAGTTAAATAAAGTAATAAGAAATATAAATTATCCTATTACATCAACCCTTTTATACCAAAAGGGTTTCTCTTATGTAAAAATAAGACTTGGCTTGTCCTTTAACTTCCAAACAAATTCCACCAACAATTCCTACAATATATAAGTGATCCACATCACTTATCATGAAAAATAGTATTAATGAAGACCATAACCCATACCACACAATTTGAGTCAATGAGTTAGAATCCATCCTAATGGTTCATATATTAATGAACCATTCATATAATACCACTTAACTATCAAAATCATGTATTAGCCATCATTAGGCCGATTTTCAAACCATAAAATTTTCAATCAACCGAAAACCTTCACTTAGCATTATCAACTTTCATAATTAGCCATTATAATAAAAACTAAAACTTAATTTAAATCTTATTGGATTCAGATAGTATAATTATAATTAAAACAATAGGTTGAAACTATTGAAGAGCAAAACCCAGCCTTTTGAGGTATAGCTTTTGCCCTAAAACTCTATTTTTTTCATCTAGTTGCTCACTCAAAATATTAGAGCACCATATAAAAACTCAAAACAACTTTCATAGGACCTCAAGAAACTAAAGCTTACAAGAATAAAGCCTTTGAAATTAAAATTTTAAAATTTTCTCTTCCAAAAATTCAAGAAAACTAAAAGGAAAGAAAGAGGATTGAAGTAGGGAATTTACCTATCGTGTAGCCGAGCTCACAACGCCCGCAAAGCCTTCTGGATCCAAACCTCACTCCCTCTCTTCCTCTTCTCTTCTTCCAC